CTGGAGGATTGGTACCGTGGCCCCGGAGTGGCACTTGGCCGGGGAATCCATTCGAAAAATTTTGACACGGAAGCTTGCTTGGGTGCCGAGTTGAAATACCCGGAGAGGCGCGCATAAACACACACACACCGGGGTCGTCACAATATGTGTTTTTGCATATATGCAAGAACGCATAAAAATCAGCCAGATAGCAGGGAATAGCCGCGCGCACCAGAATAGTAGGTGCAATTATGCATTTTGTGCAACCCTCTCCAGGGAACGTTTGTGCAATTCTGTCTGGCGGAAGCTTTTGCAGCCCTGTCCAGTTGTGCACCTCTGTCAAGGGGATCTTGCTTTTAAAAGGGTCCACTGCATTATTGTTTGACACGTTACATGTTGATTTTGGCGCTAGAACTTTCATTTTTCCCTACAGACGCGCACAGGACTGGATTTACATGCGAGCAGAAAGTATTATCCTAAAATTGTGGCCTCTTAACTTTTGTGGTTCCTGAGTTATTAATTTTGGCGCTAAAGTTTTCGCACATCCATACCGGAGACTCAGGCGGGCGCAGGGCTTGAATTTACGTGAGCAGAAGCACTATTCTGGAATTTCAGCCCTCCAGTTTCTCCGACTCCCGAATTTGGCGCCAAAAGTTTCACGTACCCCTACGTGACGTCTAGGCATGCGCGGTGGGGAAGACGGAGTAGGGTCATACGTGGGCAAGGGGTATTCTCATAAATTTTTAGCCTCCTAACTTCCCTAGTCCCCAGGTTATTAATTTTGGCGCTAAATATTTCACGTGTCTAAGTGAGATCTAGGCAAGCGGAGAGCTGAATTTGAATTTACGGGATCATATGTGGAAAAGAATATCCTCCTAAAATTCAGCTTCCTAGCTTTTCCGTCCTCGAGGTGCAATTGAAAGCTGGATTTAATTTGACAGGGTAATATGCGGCTAAGAAACATTCACCTAAAATTTCAGCTCCCTAACTTCTGTGCTTCCCGAGTTAATTTAGGTGCCAGAACCTTCACGTGACCGTACATGAAGCCCAGATGCGTGCGGACGCTGAATTTGAGCTTGAGAGATCAAATGCGGGTAGGAAGTCCCTCTTAAAATTTTAGCTTCCTAGCTTCTGTGGTTGCCCAGTTGAAACCCCCGGATAAAATGCGCTCGGAACACACACATACAGACGGGGTCTCAACAGTATGCATTTTTTGCAATTGTTGCAGCACAAAACGCATAAAAAAACCATGTTGCTAGGGAAGGGGGAAAAGGGAAGAGAGGCCTGTCAACATACCGCTGTAACCTCAGTAACAAGGAAGGTTACACAATAAGGCAGCAATTTCAGTGACTGCTAAAATTCTACACTTAATAGTTAAAGTTGCGCTCGCTTGATAACACTGCCAAGGATAGTGCTCCGATCCTCCCTAACAAGTCTTTACTCAAGAAAAAATCAACATGTCGCACATCCTAGTTCTGCTAAAAACTTTTAAGGATTTTAAGACCCCAATACGATGAAATTTTCGGCGTAATTAACAGATCCTGAAACCAATGCAACGCAAAAACAAATGCATCCGTCTCGAGGTCTCTAAGCAAATCATGTATTTTGTTTGAAAAATTCCAGTAATTTCGGGGTCGAAAACATTTTGGGTAAAATTTGGGTATTTTGAAACTGACGTCAGAGCATAAAAAGCTCGAAAGTTGATTTTAAATAAGCATATTCTCCATCGCTCACCGCACAGTTTGAAAGTAGGCTCCCAAAATTTCAGCTTTCTTAACTGAAAAATCCTAGAATTATCCATGTAAACACATGTGCCGTTTCCAAAGAAAACTGTCTTCCTCGGCAGCCGAGAGGTGGGCGCAGTATATCAAGAGTGTTTGGCCAAAAAATTAAATGTGTCGGGTACAGTGGCATTCACATCAAAAGCGTATCCACCTTGCTGTTCCACCTGCTTACTTTTCGCCAGGCTCATACGCTGTTCACATATCCTTAACATTGATTCTTGAATCGCATGTTTTTCCGGATCAGACAGTGTCATCGAGTGGAAAAGTCGCTCGTCGTCTCTTTTCAGCGCTGGAACAGTAAGAACGAAGCTGAATCAGGAAAAGACGAATCGCAAATTATTCAATAAGTATGCGTATTACAGACTGTGAACAAAAAATGGAGAGTAAAAGAAGCGTTCAGTACATTTCTGCGCTCAAGTTGTGCGCGCTGCAGTAACAGTGAAAAGGGGAAAGAGGAAGGGAAGAGAGGGAAAAAGTTAGAAGACGGGACGAAGGAGAAACAAATATGCAAATGATGGGGCAATCAAACTGCCCGCGCAATGTGTGCGTTTGCAAAAATCAACGAACCTTCAAAGGTTTCTTTATAAAAAATGAATACGTCGGTGATTAAGTCATTATCAAGTGGCGTAACATATGCTTCCATCGAATCTTCCTCCCAACCATCAGTTACTGAGGAAGATGACGATTCCAGTTCGACCGTTTCCGCATCACTTGTCTAAAACGTTCATTTTTTTATTAAGTTTCTATTTACGCGATATTTTACAATACTCTTTAAGGTATAAATTCAAATGGCGTTGCTAACAATATAAAAATAAAGCATCTGGAAATTCGGGTATCCAAGACAGAAATTAGAAACTCTCTATAATAAAGAGCATGTCAACTTTGTCGTGAAAAAAAAAAAAAAAA